GCAAATTTTTTTGTAATTTTGAAAAGCAAATTTTTTTGTAATTTTGAAAAATTAATATTTTTTAATATACAGATTTTTTTTTGTTATTTTGAAAAGTCAGATTTTTTTAGTTTATTAATTTTGCTTTAAGTTTAAATAGTTTTTTTTCCAGTCAACTTTAATTGTGCTCAAATTTTATTTTTTGAGTTAACTGCTATATTACTATGAATAAAGATATTTTTCAATTTTATAATTTTTTTATTGTATCTTATTATTTTACGCGCGCTACGTAAATACGCAGCCAGAATTTTGCTTTATTCGCCATATAATAACTGATGCTTAACAAAATTGTTGACGTTTTGCATATTTTTCGTAAATAAACATACACTTATAAGTACATACATACATATATTTATATTTCGTTAATTATTTTGTATAAATATATAATAAAATTCGTATGCTCATTAATAAATATTGGAGAATTTGGCCAATTTTAACTTCCAAAAAAAATAAAATAAAAAATTTTAAACAGATATAAATTATTAAAACATTTTTTAAAAATAATTAAAAACAAATATTAAAAAAATATATAAAAAAAAACAAATATTAAAAAAATATATAAAGAAAAAACAAATATTAAAAATATATATATAAAAAAATATATAAAAAAAACAAAAATACAAAAAAAAAAAAATATATAAAAAAAAAAAAAACTTTTTAAAATAAAATAAATTTAATAAAATTAAAAATTAAAAAAATATTTAAAAAAAAAATATTTAAAAAAAATTTTAAAAAATATATTTAAAAAAATTAAAAAAAAACAATTTTTGAATATATATAAAAAGTAATGTTTAATTCTAAAATACCGAACAATTTATTAAATAACATTAAAACATTGAAATATATGTACATACATAAATAAACAAACTAAAAAAGCAAATTCAAAAATATGAAAACAATTAAAAAAGAATACAAAAAAAATGTATATACAGATTTTTTTTTAATATAACTTATAAATAATAAGAAGAAGCACAAAAAATTTTGTAATAACTACAACTGCTTACATTTAAAACTAGAATTTATAAAAAAATTTCATGGTTTAACTTTAAAAATTTTTATATCACATTATGGAACATCTTTTAAGATAAACATATTTAGATTAAAAATGCAAATGCTTATTAAGCATTTCTTAAGTGCATAAACGTATATGCGTACAGTGAGCGGAAGGGGGCGTAAATAATGGTACATACTATTTTTAGAAGCAATTTGGCCACCGATTTCGTTTCTTAGATTTTCATTTGCTTTTTTGCATAACTATCGCCTGCATTTACACTAATTCACGGCGCTAATGTGCAGTAAGTGCAAAATGTTGCATAAAAAAACCTAGACATTTACGGCTTTATACATTGGCTAACATGTGTTAGTTTCATGCTTGTCGTTGTTGTTGCTACATTTATGTTGTTTGCCTGCAACGCACATCACTCCTGCTCGCTTTCACACTCACACGCGCACGCGCACTCATCACAAACTGCACTAGCACTACCGTTGGCGCCGTCCAGCCCCTCGGCCATGCCGCCACGCCCACCGGCAATCTGCAGCCAAGCCAAAAGCAGTTGTAATGCCGGCCATAGCAATACCAAATTTCAGATATCTGTATTGAGACTGATGCGTGTCAGAAACTCGCCTTGCGAATCGGCCACCGCGCGTATTATCTCCAAGAGCAGCTCACGAGAGAGTGCGCCGATCTTCGGCAAGCGTGCCACTTTCGTAAAATCCTTTACTATTAAACGCAAGGCATAATCTTTGATATCGTAGATTCTCGTTATGTCCGAGGCTTCCAGCGTCTGCAAGACATTCTCATACGTTATATTATGCTCGAGCGAATATTTACAGAAAGCGGCTAGACGATTGTTGGATAAGCCGTAAAAGCAAGGCGCTTGAAACAGATACAAAGCATCCTGTGGTGGCATTTTCGTTTCGCCATAATAAATATAGCGCAGCAGCGATTGGAAAGCTTCTTGTGAGGGCGAGATTTCACCGATTTGTATCTAGTAGACGCAGTGAGAGTTGTGAGTGGCAGCAAGTTAACAGTAAAATCATGTATACTTACATTCACTGTATTATCGGGTGGCGTAAAGGAGCGAAACATGCCTTGAAAGTAGGTGCAGCGTGCCGAGAGTATGGATTTGTGCGCGTGTATGGCTTGGCCATCAAGTATGAGATGTATATCACAAAATTCTTTGCCTGTGGACTCCAGAAAGACCGCCATGTCACTTTCCAGCGTAGTGCCTAAGTGTTAAGAGTAAAATTAGTAAATATTTTAAAATAATTGTAAGCAAAGAAGGTTTTGTGCAACGCACCATCACTCTTTTCGAAATTATTATTTTCCATAACAATTTTGCCTGGATTAAGGCGCCTGCGCACAATTTCAACAATCAACGCTTTGTCTAGATCACCAAATTCGCTCGACAGCACGACGTCCGCGTAATTTTCATCCTTTATTATGAATTGCATGCAGTGATCCTTGATGATTTGTATTCTACAATATACAATGAGAGTTTATGCATAAAAGAGAAAGTAAAAGAAACCACCTACACCTACTTGTTCTTGTCTGCATTGTACAGCGCCTCCAGCACATTCTGTTTGTTAATCTTGAAATCCAAATATTGTATGCAGCCTTGCGCCAAGCGCGGCATTAGAAATCTACCCGCCAACTGGTATATATCGGTTATCAAAATTATTATATTTTTGCTATACGACTCCTTCAGGTCGATTCTATCCGTATATATGTAATTTAAGATGATTTCGAATGCCTCCGGTGACGCCTGCGCCAAACGTACCTCCAGCATGGGCGCACGATCAGCGCCACCGCTACCAACCAAAGCGCTGCGTATATCCATGGCTGTCCCGAACACTTTCTCCATCTGCTGTTGGCGCGCTTCACGTGCCGCTAAAATTTTCGTGCGCAAATGCTTCGAACGCGAAGCAACAAAAGCAATATGCGCTAGAATTTTAATCTCCTCCGCACCAACTATAAACTGTATATCGCAAAATTGTTTATCATGAAAGAATTTGCCGTAATCGTCGCGCAGCGTGCACTTCGGATAGCTGGAGAATTGAAAGCGATAAGTATCGCCGCGACGCACGCTATTATCAACGGTGCCGCCGAAAATGTACATAGCATCGCCGATAACAGCGCTCGCATGAAATACACGACCCGACGGCACATCCGAATTCGGCTCGGCCGTGATTACCGACCACACCTGCGAGTCCAAGTCATAACAGTGCAGATCGTTGGGCAATGTTGAGTCCGCCGAGCCGCCGAAAACGTATAAAAAGCGATCATGATGCACCATAGTGTGTCCGTAACGGCGTGAAGGTGGTGCTGCAGCAGCGCCACGTAGCACCGATTCGTTGTAGATGCGACGCCAGCTGCGAGAGAAGTTTTATGCATATATTTACAGTTATTTGTACACACATTTACATACGTTTTGGTTTTAAAATGAAATTCGAAGAGCGAGTTGGTGATCTGTAGACCACTTTGGCCGGAGAAGACGTACATGCAGTCGCGCGCAACGGCGACGGGGAAATTGCAGCAAGTCGGCGGACGTTCGCCCTTTTGCTCCACCTCCTCCCATTGATGGTTTTCGCCCTGCAGATAAAATTTAATTATTTTTCAACTCGTTTTATTTAAATTTTTAAAAGCTCACCAATAAATTGAGCGTCCACATATCGTTTAGACGCGCATTGCCATCATAACCGGCATATATCCACATCTTATTATCGTAGACCGCAGCGCCATGCGCTGAACGCGGCACTGGCACACTAAAAATAACAATAACAATTTATTTAACACTTCACTTTGCCCACATTTGCTACGCACCGTCCGGTGAATTTCCACTCCACCCACATGGCCGTCTGAAATTTATACTCGAACAAATCATTTTTATTCGTTAAATTCGAGTTCGAATGTATGTCGCCGGTGTAGCCGCCAAAGATGAACATTGAACTGCCGTAGACTACGGCGGAGTGATGATAGCGTGGCGCCGGCGCCACGCCGGTTGCACAAGCACGGCCCCACGATTTGTCCTTCACGCCAAAGCGTATTAAATCGTTGAGCATCGTTTTACCATTGTCACCCCCGAACACAAACATTGCATCCTTATACGCCACCACGGTGTGTTTGCTACGTCTGCAATAACAAAAAAAAATAAGTAAACACGCAGAACAATGGTTGTAGGCACAACACTTACTTGGCGCCTACAAACTCGGCACATTCGAGCATTTTCGACCACTGATGTGTGGCCATGTAGGAGCTAAAGTCCACATTCAATGCGTTCATGCTATAACTGCCCGGTGATATTGATTTGCAGCTGACGACATCATACATACAGACGGCGCCACTACTGCGACAACTGCTGCCGCTGCTGCCACGCATTGAACTCGAATTGGAATGCGACATTTTGCTGCGCGATGAAAAACTTTTCCGACTTTTACGACTGCCCGTGTTGCTATGACACTTTTCCACACTTGCCAGGCAGACGTTGCAGTAACCACTGGAGGAGAGACTGCAAACGAAGCCGCTATTAGCGCCACCTACACTACCAACGCAAATCGTTTGATTAGAATTGCCACCCGTGCCAATGACACTGACACTTGCAGCGTTCAAGCTGCTTGAAATAGAACTCGATGCTAGACTGACACTAACCCCACCACCTCCGCCGCCGCCAGCGCCTGCAACGCCACCACCACCTCCG